CAAATGACTCAACAAAAGTTATGTCATTTTCTGACATTACAAGCAGGGTTTGTTCCACACACTACGCTGAACAGCATGTTTTCCATCCAAATTCAACCCCAATCATAAATCTAAACAATACTGTCCAGGAGCAGAAGAAGGTCTCACTCTGACAAATCAGAGGACAGGAAACTGACTCCTCACCAATTTTTGTTAGCTGAACTTTGTCTTCAGTTTTCAAACCCTTTCAAAATGCAGAGACGTTTCTCTCCTCACAACCCTGCAGCTCTACGCAATTCTCTTACGTCATTACAGAGCCCCCTGCTGTCCACCACGGGAACTGCTACTGGCTGCACACACTGACAGGAGACTATTCACTCACATTATAGTGCTTTAAATGGTTACCTCGTGTGGTATCGCAATTCATAAAGTCTGCTAACCAAAGAAGAATGAAAAGAAAGAGTAATTATGTGTGAAATTAGTGAATATATGCTTGAATATATTTTGGTCTGAAAATAAACATAAAAATATGCCATCATCTCCAAAATCAACGATAGACTCTAAAAATGACATATAACATATAAACTGATAAATTCACAGTGTGGGTCTTTAAAAGTGAACCTCGAATGGCAGTGATGTGAAAACAACGCGAGCTTTATTTAATCAAGAAACATTTGAAGACAAATGTTTCTTGATTAAGAAACAACCCACCCACGGTGGGTTGTGATGCCTCTTTCTAACAGGAGGGGGCAGGAGAGTTTCATATTGATCCTTTAAGTCAACTCTCAAGCCTCAAGACTGTTCATTAAAAACCTGTTCAGCTTTGACACCCCGTTTAAAATCACTCACAGGCATTTAAAATGACATTGTTATATAATGAATTTATGTTACGTTTTAATTGAATGTTAATACTACAGATAGAAGAAAATCAATTATTTCACTTTTATGAGATTTTCAAGGTTTTAAAAGAAAGTCAATTCAAGTCAAAGTCTATTTATGTAGGGGGGAAAACTATTCCAGTATATATGATTTTAAAATAAATAAATAAATAATCCCTGAATCCCCAAATGAACAAAGAACGTACTGCCAACATTGTTCAAGGTTTTTCTCCTGTTATACTGCAAACTTTTAAAAAAAAAAAGTTTTACAGTTTTTGCCCAGTGCACTCTTTTCTTGGACACTATCTTTCACAGTGCCCAAGTCTTGATAGATAACCCTCGTGAAAAGTCAGAGGAAGAGTACTGTATGTTTTTTTTTCAATGCAAGGTTGTGTAAACAGTAACATAGGGTTAGGGTCTTATCATTTATCAAGGGCATCCGTTATTGATGTTTCACGTTGTTGATGGTCTGACTCTTCCACGAAGTCCTAACTGCAGCTGCAGCCATGTTTCAGCTTACACACAGTAGCACTTCATTTTTTGCTAAAGACCTTCAGTTTGGTTTCTTACTTGTTCAGGTAGTTCCTTACATTTGTAACCATGTTACACTGGACACAAGCCGGGCCAAAACTCAATCCTAGGGTCTTTTATAACTGTCCAGGAAACTGCAGCATGTACTACTTACCAGGTATTATAGTCTATCACTTTAATTCTAACCCATGTAACCTAAACTTTAACTTCAAAAACACTACATTAGTGTCCTTTGACTTTTGTTTTACCTGTTTGTACCTATGTGATGTCCATCATGGCTGCTGGAGTTGCATTATTAGACATCTTTCACAGACTGTATGCAGTCTGAAGTTTTATAGTATGTGCGGTATTTTGTGCTGTATATACACTGAAAGATTTTTAATGTCACCTACTTCAATCTTTTAAGAAGTTCTTTTCTGTTTTCTTGCACTTTGCCTGTGCTTCTTGTCACATGAGAAATTCCTCTTGGGATTAAAAAAAAAAGTTGGTCTTTCTGTTGGTAACTTACTTTAGTTTTTTGGGTTTATGGATCATCTTCAGGTCATTTTCCTCTCAGAACCTATTTTCTACATGTGAGTGGAAAGCTAGAGCACAGCATTCGCTCGTGTTTGTCTGCATTTCACCCAAATTGCATGAAAACGCTGTACAAGATAAACAGGAACTTAATCAGTTTTAAACATTTTTATGGAAGATGATTAAGCCTTGAGGATTAACAACTACTAGTGTTGCTACACTCAGGAGTAGGTGTAGCAACACTAGTAGCTGCTACTGAAGTCTGATGAATTTCCCAAAGTGATATCAACTGAGTTTGCATCAGTTTAAGTTTCAGAGAAATATATGTATTTAAACTACATGGTCACAACTAATGTTGGATGGCCTCCAGTCAACACTGCACTAAAAACAACATGACAAAATCACAGCGTGGGCTCAGGAACAATACACAAATCCAAATTTACATTTTAGCATGCTATAAATATAAATGAGATTCAGAAATGGTGTTGGTTTCTCATTTAACATGTGGTGTCACTGTGTCTTCTGGGCTAAAGAGGATTGTATTTCTGTGAAACAACACCAGATCACATTCTACTCATATTCTGACGACATGGCTCCACAGGTAAAGAGTCCAGATACTAATATTGTCTGCCTGCAGTTCATACTTGTCATCAGCGGAAAATATTTTCCAATGTGAAACCAAAAATAAAGGATACAGAGGTTCCAAATCTGTTGTGTAGTCAAATTCAAAATGAGTGGATTTTTTTTTAAACAAGTATTAAAAAATTGTAGTATTGTAACAAAAGCTTGGGTCCTCTACCAGAATCCTGGAAGCTTGAAGGTCCTGTGTAGTATTGTTCTTGTTCTTAGGACTGCACCCTTCTGAACTTCTGATCTTCTCAGATTAGGTTCCTGGGATCTTGCCACTTGCCCAGCTCGAGGGTCACTGCCTCGAGTGTTCCGATTAACACTGGGGCCATTGTTGTCTTCAAACTCCACATCTTCTCCAGCTCTTTTCTCAGCCCTTGGTATTTCTCGAGCCTGATGTTGCTATCAGTTGGTATAGCTACATCTATCTGCTTGTCCACCACTACAATGTCTGGTTGGTTAGCCATCACCAGTTTGTCCGCCTGTATCTGGAAGTCCCAAAGGATCTTAGCTCGGTCATTCTCAACTGCCCTTTGACCTCGGGACTTCTAGGCCATATTCGGCACAGATGTTCCTGTATACTATGGATGCCACTTGGTTATGTCGCTCCATGTATACCCTGCCTGCTAGCATCTTGCACCCTGCTGTTACGTGATGGATTGTCTCAGGGGCATCTTTACACAGCCTGCACCTGGGGTCTTGCCTGGTGTGATAGACCCCAGCCTCTACTGATCTTATACTTAGAGCTTGTTCCTTTGCTGCCATGATTAGTGCCTTTTCTTTGAGTCCAGCTTTGTCCAGCCACTGGTAGGATTTTTTGATGTCAGCCACTTCTATCATGCAGGGGCCTATCCTACCTTGATGGTTCCTCTTCTTGCTGCTCTTCCTTCTTTCTAAAATAGCCCTGTAAGCTGTGCCTCTCCATGGTGTGACCATCTTGCACTTAACTGAGCAGACACAGCTGGCTGAACAGAATGCATATTCAAATCTGTTAATGCTCTACAGTATATTTACTCAAAGGATAAGGTATGGCTGATTTAGTTTTGCTTGTTCTTTTAAGCACACCATGAAAGGACCAAGTCAACCGTGTGCTAATCCACGTGTCAATGCTTGCAAACTTCACTATCATGAAATTTGATTTGCTTTTGGACCATTTGTGATTTAAGCAGGATGGTTGGTGCTAGCTATACAATGTGTATTTAGGGTGAAAAGAAATGCACTGCCCAGAGAAATAGTGTGGCTCTTTGATGTGTTTTTGGACAACAAAGGAAGAAAAAAAGACAAAAATTGACATTATAGATACCACTGGATAATGAATTAAAGGGAAAACTACACAAAACACTTAAGAGCAGCTTCGGTGTCTGGAGCTCTGAATAGAACACCATTCATTTAAAAGGTATTCCCTAATTTAGTGTTTTGATGTTGGTGACCTAACACGTCTGTATAAACTCTCCCATAGCTGATGGGATGTGAAGTTAAAAACAGATGATTCGTATCATATTCATACTCATCGATCGATGAGTGCTATATGCATGGGACTATTGTAATCTTAAATAAAACCAGTCATGTCAGGACAGAGATTCCTCATTGTGGGATTAAGGCGGTCATTCTGAATAGTTTTAATTAGCACTCTTAGCCACCTGAATGATCACAACATGCTCAGCATCAGAATCATGAAATCTGATGATCACAAAAATTGGTGGTTGTCTTTTGACTGCAGGAAATATTTTTGCATCCACCAACTGATTGTAACCAGTCACATCAACCAACTGTTGGCCCAGAGGTTAAGCATCCGACACCTTCAACCTTTGCTTGGCTTTTTTTTTTTGATTGCACAACGTGACCTGTCTCCAGGCAGGAGTTTGCAAATGACTGCTATCTAATTTATAGAGACAGACAGATTCAAGCAGACTGAAATTTCCGAGTGGGTATATGCTGATGGGCGCAACTCATCTGTGTCTCTTTAGGGACTCAACTGGTTCACAGTGGTTCTGGTTGTATTCCTATATCAGAGCACAGTTTCTTAAAGCCTACATCATATTTTCTGTGCACATTTACATTTCTGTAAATGTTTGCAAAAGATTAACACAGTTAATTGTTGTATTATCACAAACAGATTATATGTAATTGCCAGCTTGACCCTATTTAACTGCAAACTGATAGCAAGCTCATAGCAGACTTACTCTTATTGCCACCTTATCACTATCATGGCGTGCCAAAGTTGCTATGGCGGTGACAACTGAGTGCACGATCAGTTCCAGTCTGCAAAGCAACCATTCCAGAAGCAACAGGTTCATAGTACACAGTTGCAATAATTGTCTCCGTATTTCTTAAGGTTCTTTCCTAAAATAATTAATTAATCTTTATATCATACTGGATACACAAACCGTGTTTATTTTCCTTGTTTGATTTGTCTTTTTTTCATGACGCTTGGTTAGATATGGCTCATTGTCAAGAAAAACACAGTTTCCATTTCAGAGTTTTAGTAAGTCAGCGTGTCAGGTTTATTGTTGCTTTACAGTAATAGTCATCAGTTCTCACAGTTTATGCCAGATCAGTTAGTCACATACAGTGAGGCCAGGCATTCAAACACACAAATACACTGACACATACACAAATTTTAAAAAAAAAAAACAGTGCTAGTAACACATAAGTTGTGGTAGTGGCTGCAGTGTCCCACTGATGAATGGGATTTGAAAGTTCAGTAGGAACACTGATATCCAGTATTAAAGCTGTTGATTGTGTGAAGACATCCAGCATAATACTGTTTTATTCAGAATTGCTGGTTCATGATGGGCTGTATAGTTTTTTAGTTTGTGTTAGTTTGGTCAGAAATGTATCTAAACGATAAGGTGGACTGACTGTGCTTTGCCCTGGTTTTCAGGAACATAGTCTCAATGCTGGACATTCATATTAAGGTTCAAATAATGAGGTCAGTGTATGTACAAGTAACCCCTGTGAGTTCAGGCATCAAACATTTTTTTAACTCTAAACTTTTTATGATGTCAGAGAGAGAGAATATCCCTAATATGGTCATCTCAGGCACCTAGTTTCACCCACCTGCTGTTCAAACCTGAGAGAGGTGGTCAAAAATACAAAACAAAATACAAGCTGAGATGCTCGCCTTGCAGTGCGTTGGCTCACCGCCCACATCTGTGCACACAGCATCGTTGCATCATGTTTATGCTTTGCAGGGAGTAATCCAGGTCATAAGCGAAGATGACTTGACTATAGGCTCAATGACATTAACATAAATTGCTTTGCCAAAATAAAAAGTTGATGGTGCCGTTTTGATGCTCAAAAAGTTAATCAACTCATTTTTTTTTTATTTTACTTACTTTACTTGTCATGTAAAAATGCACAAGAATATAAATTTGCGCAAATTAATTTTTTCCCTTGTTATTAGGATGTTCTGGATATTATTTGTTAGCCTCAGAAATATTGAGAATTTTCAGGATGCATGTAAAAATTGATGTTTTACCCTTAAACATAGTTGTTTCACTAACTGGTGCAGCAGTGTGGTAGTGGCATGGAGAGCAACACCTTGTAAATATGGATTATTTTGAACCTTTAAACAATGTTAGTCCCAGAATTCAAATATTGAGTTGGAAAATAAGCAAAATACACTGGATTGAAGGGTTAACCTACAAAATGAGCCCAACCTCCAGAGTGCGGATGTGAAAATGCATCAGGTACAGGAAGCTGATGGAAATAATGGAAAATTATTCAGTTCAAAGATTCCTTCAGTGCTTAATTTCCAATAATATTCAGCCGGTACACCTGCCTTCACCTGTCTCTCTCCAGCCCTTTGGGGGACATTTAATAAAGAAATACTAACAATGGAGATTTGCTAAAAAGATTCAAACAGAGGCTGTATAGAAACATGATTTCTTTTAAGATCTTGCTGGATGCTTGATTTAATACACGTGTATATTTTCTTTGTGTGACTTCATTTGAAATTTAGCTTCAAATAAGCTCATAAACTTTGTGTAAAATGTGTACAGTCTTGCATAATTAACGTCCTGTATTCACGTAATGTACAAAGGATGTGTGTGTGTGTGTGTGTGTGTGTGTGTGTGTGCGTGTGTGTGTGTGTGTGTGTGTGTGTGTGTGTGTGTGTGTGTGTGTGTGTGTGTGTGTGTGTGTGTGTGTGTGTGTGTGTGTGTACGCGCACGGATGTGTCTAGGTACCACATCTGTGGTTCAAGCTTCCTTTTGTTTTGACAGCAGAGATTGGCTGATTATAAGCCTCCTGTCACCAGGACAGACACAGCAGATTAACACAATACCACACTACAGTACACAAACAGAGGGGGATTTTACATATGTTAAAAGGGAGGGGCAGGAGGGTGTAGAGACTACACTTAAGCACACACACACACACGCACACTGTAAAGGGGTGTAATCAATAGCTTCTTTGTCCACCTTCACTCTTAATCTGCGGCTGATCTAGAACCACATCCTTGCACTGCTGCTACTCTCTTCACGCCTCTTCTTTCTTCTCTCCTGTAAGAAAAGACAAATATGGATGTGATTAGGAGAATGAGAAAAACCAGATGTGTCCAGCAGCTAAACTGTAACACACAGATGGAAATGCTAGGTTTGTACTTTTACAACCAATTACTTTAAACTGGAGAAAGAAACTCCAGCAAAACTGAGGTGTTTTAGAAGGAGGTGTTAAAAAGCCTCTGTAAAAGTTCATTATTTTTTCCTTCGAAGGTACCACATAAAGTCACATATATGTGAGCTGAGCTAGTGAGCCAAAAAGAGGCACATGTTGCAGCAGGGTGGGAAGAAAGTACATTGCCAAAGAGAATTCAGAACAACTTCATAGTGTTGGTCAAAAAAGAAAGAAATCTGGCTGCTAAAAGAGAACAAACAAACAAAATCATCTCTTGGTAGTCGAACATCAGTTTCAGAATGATATGAAATCGGTTGTTTGGTAGCGGATATGTACTATTGTCTTAACTCAGCTCCAGGGTTGCTTTGTTTTCACTGTTCTGACAAATGAAGTCAACTCAGAAGTTTGAAAATAATATTGTTCATGTCGCCCCAAAATCAGTTCAATTAAATTTTATCTACATAGCACCAAATCACAACAACAGCTGCCTCAAGGCGCTTCATATTTCAAGGTAACGACTGTACTGTTATTATTTAGTCTGATCCCCTACTATTTTCCTAAGATAGACAGGCTGCAAGGCAGGATCTTTATTTGCTCAACTAAATCTATTAAATACTTACTCCCATGCTGGTTCAGCATTGGTCTCTGTTTGCGTAGCTCTTTGATCACACAACTGAACAAAAATAACACAAACACAAATAAGAGGAGGAATTCTGGCCCACTCGTTTTTGCAGAATTGTTTTGATTCTGCCACCTTGGAGCGTTTTTAGCATTGAAGGCCTGCTTAAAGTCATGCCAAAGTATCTCAATCTGGTGTGAGTCTGAACTTGACCGCAGAATTCCAAAACCTTCCTTTTTAGGCTCCTATATGACTCTCAGACCTGTCCAAGTATCCACTCCCTTGTGTTTATTTTACCTTTACCTGTCTCTGTCAAGCTGGTCTGGCTGATTCAAATTTTCACCCTCCGGACCTACCTGCCTGCTCAGCCTCCCATTGATCAAATTTGAACAGCTCTGACCATTGGCTCCCCCACAGTTTGCTCGTCAACTCACAGCTGAAGAAATTACAACTCAATTGTAAATCAAAAACTCAAATCACCACTGCGCCACTCATCCATGCACCCATACTAAATTCCCTTGGAGAAACCTCCCTTTGTAACAATAAAACCTGTCAACTTTGAGCCGTTGTATCCCGTGAGCTTCTTTGGAGTCTGTTTCATGCTTACAGCTGTCATGGTGATAACAGAAGCACAATGACCACAGCTTCTGCACCAAAAATGCTGTTCCAGATGGTTCAGACCAACTCTAACCTCAACGCATACTCCTATGAATTATGCATGCATATGCATATGTTTTAGCCTCTTTCCTCTCTTTGCTTGTCGATGCTTAAAGACACATAGTGACATGAAACACAATGAACTTGAAGAAAGAAGCCTGTTTTGAGTACAGATATTTGTGTAGTAAAAATGCATAGATTAAAAGCAAAAAGTCATCAAAAAAATAAAAACCCAAGTACAGATACCTGAAAATCCTACTTACGTATAACACTTCATACAAATATTTTTTTAACTCCACCTCTGGGGCTCTATTTCCCCCAGGGGTTGTCTTTCCCATAGTCTGAACTCTTGTCTTAGGTGTGTTTTGCTGGTGGGACCAGATCAGTATCTGTTTACACCATAGACAATAGTCCTCTGTTGTTTCTTTCCATTTTCTTCCCTCTGCTCGCTCACTCCTCTTTCATCCCTCTGGCATTTTTACCTCCTTTCACCAAGTTACCCCTCTACTTCCTCGCTCTCAACAAGCCCTCACTTTTTTGTCCTCTGCTTCAGTTTTTACTCCGTCTGTTACTCTCGTGTGTGTCCTTTGACTTTGGCCTAAGTGGACGTCAGTTCAGATCTTCCACAGCATTCTATGGTATCACAGGGCTATAAGAGTTATATGACCCTGAAGAGCTCTACCGTGTAGCCTTCAGAGCGTAAACACTAGCTGGGAGTTCACTGTTAAGCTGTTACATCTGCAAAAATAGCTGTTTTGGGCAAAATGACTCAGTTCAAATGAAGCCAGTAAACTGACAGTTTTACTCATTATGTGATCACAATTCCCAAAACACCATGACTACATGGAAACACTCAGTTTTCCTCTGGACATTTAACGTGACACACCACTGATTTTACAGGTTAGCTCATGTAGAACTCTCTGTAGTATCATTCCATGTGGTTCTGCAGAAGGTTTTTCTGGCATTTCTTGGCTCGGCTTACAGGCTTTCTGTAAGCTGAGCCAAGCCCGGGACATGGGCATGAGTCTTATCCATTCATGTAGGACTAACAAAAGTTGGAAGCTATTTAGCGGCATTATAATGTAAGATCCCACGCATGTGGCAAAGCATTACCCAGACTATGAACTCAAATTCAGCATGTTTTACTTTCTGATTTAAAAAGTTACAGACGCTACATCGATGTCAGATGAGATAATTTACTGCAAGGCAGACACTGTGTTCCTGTCCCTGACATTATGTTGCAAAAGGCTAACTGATAGTGTAGAGATGTGAGAAAAGGTTACTGCTTCTGCCCACCGTCGCTCATTTGTATTTAACACGAGGCACTTGTGCTCTTACCTTTAACACTGAGCCAGAATGAGGTCTGAAAAGCTACAAATATTCCTCTTTCTTCTTCTTCACAACTTCAAAACAGCGTAGAAACACCATAAGAATGAAGGAATGCAGACTCATAACCAATAACGCAAAAATGTTTATCTTCGAAAGTGAAGCATTTGTTTTGATCTAAACAGTACTAGGTGACCTCATCTGTAATTGTGCAATGTTTGGGGAAAGTGACGTACCTGCTTAATATTCGTGTTTATTTCACATCAGCACATAAAAAATAGTAAACAAGGTTGTTTGTTTTAGCCTTACACTTTTACAGTCGTCGCATTTTTAAGCGTCCTGCTCTGTTCTGATGTCCTAAAGTTCTGCCCTGCCTTCCTCCTGCAGTGCTGCTGAGCTAAATCTGGGATCTCTCCATGCACTTTGTGCTGTATATAGGTTGGTCCCACATTAGTAACTAAACTGGGTTAGTTCTTCCAGGGCCTGATCTATTATGTGCCATGGATTCTGAGGGCCCAAATACCTCAGGGACAGTATGCCTAGTTCATTAAAATTCTGTCCCTCATGAGGAAATGTGCTGAACTGACTAAAAATACAAAGTGTTTGGTGGTAAGTAGAGCAAGTGATAGTTACTTTTTCAAATATCAGTCATCACATCTACAGATAATTATTGATTCCCCAACTACAGTGAGCTAAACAGCATTTTAGAGCTGTTCAGCTCACTGTTTCTGAGTTTAGTTACATCAGATTTGCTGTTGTGGTTTGATCTCACTGAGGGCATCAACAGCTGTTTGTCAGGTTTTTTTTACAGCAGTAGGGAGTTGTCAGAAAAATTCACTGTACAACAACACGCTCAGAGGCTCAGAGTTACAATGAGCGTAAATATCATCTTAAACCATCTTGATTAAAAAAAATTCCTAATAATACTTTGTATTTGCTATTGTACTGTCACTGTTTCCTAACAAACTGCTATTATCTGTCTTGAACCCTCTGCAAGAAAGGTGTACGATACCAGGCATGCGTTCCATTAATAGGTTTGACCTTATATGAAAAGACAAACCCTTTTCCTCAAAGTAGGACGTGACCACCTCAGAACACTGTATTGAAGTGTAACTCACTGTGACAATGCTACCTTCTTTGATTGTATCTGTAGATCCCACAGTTTGTCTGAGATGGCGGTGGAAAGTGGGAGTCACTGGAAGGCAGCGCGAACTGTCCGGTCACTGAGCGGCTGGGTGGGACGGAAGTTGTCCCCCAGCATCCCATCATTCCCTTCTGGCAGCTCCGCACCTTTGACATGGGACCGTAGTCTCCGAAACTCCTCAATCTGCAATGACAAAGATGTTTACACAGAAACTGAGGGAGTCTGTTGAGGTCTTGGAGACGCAGGGCTACTTTTTCACCAGAAAATCCTCCTTTCTGAATTTTAGAATTATCATTATTTACTTTAATTTAATTTAAAATGTTCTGATGTCTTACCCTGTAGTAGAATAGCAATCTTCTTTTTTTTCCTTCTTTTTACCACAACAAGAGGAGCACTGTGGTGATTGTGGGTTTAGGTTCCACTGTGCCTTCACTTTATATTGCATTGTGTCGCTGCAGGTATTTATTCATGTCTAAGGAAAAGAATCTGACAAACTGTCAGCTGTATAAAGTCTTCAGAGCCTCACTTTCACCTTCCTAAAAACAAGCTTGTGGGTATAAAAAGGAAGGACTAAAGTTATGTGTGATTCCTCATAACAGAGAAAGTGGAGGGGTTATTTCTGGTGATTTCACTATTTGCTTTGGTTTAGCATGTCAGATGGACAAACGAACCATTTTTACTCATCTCTGAATAGAAAAGCTCGACAGGTCATCTACAAAAAAGAGCATTCTGGGCTTTTTATAATTCTCAGATCAGAATAATCTTTCACCTGACTTCCTGTTCATGAGAAAATGCTGCAAGTGCAGATATGATCTACACACACATACTGTGCAGGGGGTAGCAATATCAGGCAAAACAAATATGAGGCTTTTTATGCAGCCGTGCAGCTGTGTCACAGAGGAAAGCTTTATAGCACGCTGTCAAAGTGCATTACAACATACTAACAACATAGTAGGCATAGTAACTGCCTGATATGTATACACATTCACTGAGCACACACACACACACACACGCACGCACGCACGCACACACACACACACACACACACAGAGTCAATAATAGCCGGATGTTTGAGGTGTGTATTCTAGGTAAGAAGGACCTGCTGTTTTAAAATACTTGCTGTGGTTACAGAACATGTTACAGAAAGAAGAACAGTAAAGTGCAGCACAGTACATGAGTAGGCATAAAAAACAGCAAACAGGTCAGTGTGCTGGAGTTAACTGTGTTTTTTTACACTTTGCTTTTTTACTTTAAAGGGATGTAGAGAGAAGTGTAATGGAAAGGGTGGCAGGCAGAAGGTCGCATGTATAGCATAGTTAAAGGACTATATTATTCTAGTGTAACCCACTGCTTGGGCCTGCTTATCAACTGGTGAGAAACTAGAGCTGCTGTCTGAACTGCCTAACACTTGGCAGGTTTTATACTTACGCCCCTCATAAAAACAGAACCCAACTGAAGATTTTTCTGTTTTAGTGTTTGCTTTTAGGACTTCTATTTGTACGCTGCAAACAAGAAGCACTAATAGTTGCGGAAGGAGCCATAAAAATGGCTTAACTTAAAACTTTAAACACATACTATATACCACCTGTTTGCAGGATTGGCTTTGTTATCATCTAAAAATAAGAAAATTTATCATCTTTAACCCATTGATACTTTCCAGCTTTTATTATTCACAATAGGGCATGGCCTGAGGGAGCCTGAAGTCATCCTTTCTGTTGGCATTTCTGCAGGTTCAATGGAGCAGAAAGCAGGGAACATGAAAGCCTGAATTAAATGTCAGATGGTTACTGTCATCATCCTTTACATCAGGCTGCTGGAGTAAAGCATGAGAGACCCAAAGGCTAAATTCAAATAAAAATGTATCAAAAGAAACTCGACAGACTTATTGATTGGTAGTGAGTGTAAAGGTTTCCTGTACTGTGAGTAACTGCTAGAGAGCTGTGGACTAGCATTACTGTGCAATTTAAAAATACATACAGGGCTGACATATTGATCATATAAGACAGGATGTAGAAAATGAGAAACCCCCTCAAACATGAACAATACAGACACTGAACGCAGTAGAAGAGCCACGCCAGTAAAAGCAATGTAACTGATTGGCTTACACTTGCCACGGGTAGCCGTTACCATGTATGATTCATGGCCTATAATTTTGCTGATGTCTACTTTATTTTACTGCTGCAGCAGATATCTACAAGTTGTTTCATAAGAGAAATAAAATGTGTTTTGCCGATAAACAGACTATTCACTAGTAACAGAAATTTTGTATATCAGTGTTAGGCTAATATTCTTAATATTCACCACTTAATAGATCTTGATGCATGTTCAGCCATCCAGGTAAGGAAATACTAACAAGTTGATTCTGTTTATCTAGATGTGAAATTTTCAGTGAAAAAAAAAAAAAAAAAAAAAAGACAGGTTAGCCTTGTTAGACTGTGAGATTTCCATCAGTAATGGGGGACATTTAAAAGTTGGTGTGTACCGTAAACCTACGAATACAGATCAGTATTTAAGGTTTCATCATCCACTGCTGCACAAACTGGGTGTCATCAGGACGCTGCAACATAGAGGGAACACCATCCCAACAGACTCAGCAGCCAGCGAAGCAGAAGAACAGCGCTTCAAGAAGGCCCTGAGTAAATGTGGTTATCCCAGCTGGACATTTGTTAGAGCACCTAAAGAAAGCTCCAGCTGATACTGTCATGGTCCGTGGTCCTGTGTCTGTGGAATGCGTGATGCTCAGGTAGCCACACCCCCGGGCTGGGCCATCACCAGCACACCTGCTCTCCATCCCGGTGATTACACGGAGATCCACTTAATCCGGCGCTGACGGATGCTCCACGCCAGTCCGTAGTCATCCCCACAGTGGTAACCAGACTTCCACGAAAAGTGTGCATTCTCTCCTGCTTGGAACTTTGTTTAACCTGCCTACTTCTGTCCAGGTTTCTACTCGGCGTCTGCTACCTGCCTGTCCTCCGGCTCAACTGGATCTCGCGGTGCTCACCTGGCCCACTCGCCATTCCACGGACTTCCTTCCCCCACGGACTGCCACACTTCCCTCCCGAGCTCCCACGGTTCCGTTCTATCGTAAGGCCCTACTCTAACTCAGTCCTGATATGTTCTCCCCGCTTCCTGGCTCCCTAGTAATCATCTCCCCTTTCTATTGCAGCCCCCCGCCGTCCCGATCCCGGCTTCCTCGTGTCATTGTTTCCCCGGATTTTTAGTTTCTGTTTTGCTCTCTACTTTCCCCGGGTCGCCTTTCGTTGTTTTATTAAAGTGTCTTTTTGTTAGCTCGGAGTCTGCGCCTGGATCCTTTCGTGCCCGCGCACCACGGCGCATGACAGATCCAGGAGAGAAGGGCAACCGCTGCTTAAGCGAAAACCTGTGGTCATCCTGTATGTGTCAGGAGTATCGGAACAGCTGAGACGCATTTTCTCTAAACACTGCATCCGTGGCTTTTAAACCCCAAAACACGCTGAGCCAAAAATTGGTCCACCCCAAGGATCAGGTCCCCTGACACAAACAGAGTAATATACTGTACGCTGTTAAGGAGGATTGCCAGGATTTATACATTGGAGAAGCCAAACAACCTCTGGCTAAGATGGCACAACACAGAATAAGTAACTCGTCAGGCAAGGTCATTGATCAGTGGTTGTTGATCAATGGTCATGACAATTTGCTTACTAATGATCAAGAAACAGACCTCACAGCCCATTGTTCATTCAGTGGTGCTAGTTTAAGTCATTATGCAAATCTACTGTATATAAGGTTGGAAACCTGCAGTCAGCTGAGACTGAAGAAGTCACTTGGATCAGTGGCGAAACATTTCTCTCACTGAAAACGCTACGTCCAGATGACCAGAATCAACTTTTTGGGACCACTTTATAAAGTTCCTGAAATGCTTTTATTGTGAAATAGCAGCAGGGTTTTGCGGTTTTGCAGCTTTCTGCATCTAGGGTTTTTTTTCTTTTCTTCTTATTATGAAAGATTGACAATTATACATTAACCCTTTACTGTATTCACCATTATATTCTCCACTGATTTCTGGCAAAATATATCCGTCTCATCAGCAGCTAAACACTCCACTACCATCAGCAGCTGATGCTGTAGCTTCTTCTGAGAAAACAGCTGCCTGAGGACTTTGCCTGTCAGGAACCCAAAACACTGAGCTGAAAGGGCCTTTAAGGCTGAGATAATAATTCTGGGATTAAACAGAAGAAGAAAAATAAATAAAACAAAAAAAACCTTAAAAAGGCAGAGGATGCTTTACTTTACCTGCTTTATTTGTTTTACCTGTAACTGTGAGATGGTGAGAGGGTAACGATAGAGAATCCAGGTCACATTCTCACTACAAGGTGGTGTAGTCAGAGATCCTTCATACACCCAGTAGTCTCTCAGTAATGGATCTGTGGGCAGGTTTTGTGGAAAAAGCAAACATCAGTTATACTTTGATGATATTGTTTCAGCTCTCAAGGCTGAACAAAAAACAATTTCTTCATCCCATCATGCAGTTGACTTTCTGAAATGAGGACATGATCTGCATTTTTTTTTCAACTTTATCTCACACCCACACAAAAATCGTATGGGTGTTATCAGGAGGCAATAGCTACAAATCTGCATCGGTGCTCAAGACATCCTTGCTTACCCGGTAACAGAGTGTTGGGATTAAAGCAGGGGATTATCTTGCTCTTCCCCTGGTGGCATTAACACAAAGATAATTATTCTCATTGTACATGCATCCTACAAATCCAGCATTTTAAAATGCTTTCATCTGCTCAGATTTTTTTTTAATTCAGTCACACCTTGTACTGCAGGTCCTGGAGAACTTCAGTGATGGCCTTCAGTCCCAGATGCTCTTTACCAATCTGATAAAAAGGTAAGCATGTTTGGTTTCACAACTGACAAAGTAGTCCTTATTTCAGCTTGAACTAGTTGATAACGATAATGCTACCAGTGATTGTGTTTAAGCAGGACTTTTATACTTTTATGTCTGCAGGAAGTAAACAGGGAATGAAGTAAGAATTCTGTTGAGAACAGGATGTGTGTAGTGTTAGGTCTGAGGTCAGGAATGTTTTGGGTTGAAGAAAGAGTGAGATAGCCACTGTTTTTTGTCAAGGTTTTTGAGCAGGTTTCTCAGCAGACTAGCTTTTCAAGAGGTCTACTGAGAGTTCTTGAAAACCCGGTCTCATTTCATGAGCTGAGGATTATTCCTTATGGAGTGCATTAAGCATGTAAATCAGGGGAATTTCACAGGAACGTGGCAAACAATACATTCCAAACTGACTCATTCTCAGGTCACACCAAGCATATCTAGAATTTATCTGATCAGTCATTTAGGAAAACAGCTTTTACAATGCTAGGAAGGAAAGTACATTAGGGCTGATAAAAGCAAATGTTTATAAAAATGCATGTCAAGACTAGACTTAAAACGGGCATTGTGGCTCAGTCCCAGTTTAGGCAGCCAGCATATAACTTAGAACTCCACAGAAAGACAGCACCTTTTACTTTGTGTTTAACTGAGCATTCACAGGCTGCATAAGATGTCACCAAACACTCTGTAGCTGGATCATATACATGGAAAATGGGACAGCCTTTTTAAATGGCACTTCCCCTGAGCTGCACTTAACAGGGAGAAATGGTGTGTTTAAGTGTCTTTTTTTAAGCATGGAGAAAAAAATGCATCTGTTTTATGAAGAAATGTATTTAAATTTATGTTATTTTTTTTGGGGGGGGGGGGGGGGTATCTGTATTTCTTTCTTTCTTTTAAAGTTCTTCAGTGGAAGCTTTACAGACATTTTCAAACATTTAAAAAATGCAATATATCAAGCAATAACTAGTTTTGACAATGTCTGTCACACTGGGGACACTGTGATGATTTTCTGCTGGTAAGCCTCAGTTGCATTCATGTAGATGTTGCTTTGACCTGCCTAAACATTACTGCAGAACACGTATTTCTCTGTGGAGAAAGTATTCATTAATGCCACTGGTCTTTTTCAGTAGGATAATACACACAACACTTGACAAAGAGTTCAAAGTATTGGGCCCCCAGATTTCCCAGTTCACAATAACAAGTGTATGTGGAATGTGCAGGAAAAACAACTTCATTCCATGAATGCTCCACCTCCTAACTTCCAGGACTGAAAAGACACTGACTTTAACGATGTTTCTGACTGACATAGAAAATAGTTTCTTGACTATGAATAAACAGACATTGTAAATCAATCCTTTATCAGGTCACTTTGCCAGCCTTCTGGCTCTGGATGCTTACCTGCACAAAAAGAGCTATGATAAGTACTCCATTCTTCTTCCCTAGAGCATCCTCCAATGTGTTAAACAGAGTGCTGTTCCAGTGAATCAGATGAAGCTGCACACAAAGAAACAACACATTACAATCTGTGATTGAGTGGCATTTGCTGTAGAGAGGACAAGTTGTGAGTGAGTGAGAAACCATCAGCTTGTGGTGACTGAAGGCTTTTTGTAAGGGCTTTCACATAAACAAAGGGACGTGTACAAAGCTTCGACCCTGAAAGCAGTAAATACAAGACCAGACTGAAGTTACATACATGATAAGACTTACAGCTGCCATGCTATGTGTCTTATTATAACAGACACAGTGGAAAAAACATTAATGTATAATATCTTTGTGATCTCTGAGCTGCCTGTTTCATTATCAATAGCCTTCTGCACTGAGAACTGATAATGTGTTTTGTAAAAGGAAACATAAGCTATCGTAAAAGGGTAGTTCTGCTGCTACAAACAGGAATGGAAAGAGACACTGAGCTATACTGAGAATAATATCTGCAGTAGATTGAGCTCAGTACAATCGGCACAGTAAACTGTATTTACCACTGTCTTCAAATAAGCCAAGCTCTCTTCACACAATTTTCCCTTGTTGACTACGGACAAACACTAAAAATGGGAAAATGGGACATTTGTAGACCAGCAAGTCCAATGTTCTGTTGTCAGATTCATATATTTTTGGTGTCCTAATAATTAGGAATTTATTAGGTATTTACCTTGAGGTCCAGTAAAATGCCAGATATTATATTGTGCAGGAACGTTATCTAAGAAAGTTCACCAGAATTTATAACATTAGTGTTTGAAGATGGAGTCCAGTTTTGGGAAATGCAAAGTTGTTGTAGATGACAAGATAAAAATGGGATTGACCTAACGTGGAGTAAAAACCAAAGTAGAAACAGCTCACACATTTGTAAACAAAAAAAAAAAGAAAATATAAATGTAGGTTTTTGGATGGAGTGGTACAGTTTCTTGATGAACTGTCAGAGAACGCACCGTAAAGATTTCACAGACACACGGAGTCACAGAATGTTTGATTATGACTGTGGAACAATGCTATTGATATCAAAGCAGATACTTTTCAAAGAAAAAAAAGATTTTGTCTTCAAGGACTCATCAAACTACAGTGTTAGCTGAAGACAAGTCTAAACAAATCAGTGCATTTCTTTGGTGTTTGGGGTGTGCTTCATGGTTATGGCCTTGCTTTTTTCTCTTTTTTTCTCCTTGGTTTACCTCCATAGGGAAAGCCTTGAAGTTGACCGTGTGCTCCGATCCTCTTTGGTTCTCTTTGCCCCAGTGGAATCGAACCTCATGAAGCTCATACTCGTGATCGCTTGGCAGTGGACCTCCAGTAACCACTGTCACAGGAAACCAGAGGGTTTATGATCAAGCACGTACAGGAAGAAGGCTAAATAGGTCAGAATAATAGTCGGTGTGAGAGAAAGGGGTCATTTGTTATGCGATGCAACTTTTTTGCTTTTCCCTTGTGAGAAAAATATACATTAATCACCTCCTACCAAATCTCAAAAACTATTCATACATCCTGTTTCAAAGCAGTTTAGTCAACAATTTGTGTTTGCTGATATGATGTCATGGCTGCTGGGAGTTACCTGACTTGGACCTGAGAATAATACGGACAGTGTGTCCATCATTGATGACCTCGCAGTCTCGACACACCACGTAGTTTGGTGACAATCCAACATCCAGGAGTGACGGATCGTAGTGAGCCTCCCTGGAGTTTAGATTAATGGGAGACTGGTACTCGCCATTGGCTGCTGGGAAATGAAGTCCCCATTCTACACCTTTATGAGCAAAAATAGGCATAAAAATGCACATGAAATAGAGCATACATTCAGATTATTGTTGTAACATATAGGCTTACTAAGAACATGACCATTAAAAATGGTTGCACAGTTTTAAGTGTTCTGCCAAGTCACACTTAAAAGTAAAGGGAACTGTTGCACCAGCTGTTTCAAAGTTCAAACTTTGACTAGCTGTAATATGTTACCAAAGTCATCATCTACACTTAATTTAAACAATATACACCACATAAAACAGCTCTTATGAAGGGCTTGGTCATTGCTAAATAGGCGTCCATCCTGTGCCTCAAATCAAGTACTTCCCTAAGTACCATTTGAGGTAAATAATGGCTTTCACTGACAGCTTTATTCAGAGCAGTCATAAGCAGCATCAAATATTGTTTAAGGGTCAAAAAAATGAAAGCAGCATGGAAGTGGCTTAATCTGCATGCCATATGAAGGGTACGAGGTTGCAATAAGCCCTGCAACAGACTGGCGTCCAGGGTGTACCCTGCCTCTCAGATGAATGGATGGATGGATTGGATAGATATCTATGGTTACAAAAAGACTTCCGGTGAAGTCTAGAGGGAAAATCTGTAAAAACTTCCCAAATGAGTTCATGGAATCGGTCATAAAAATAGCAACACTATTTTTCTTCTTCGCTCAATGACATCAGTTTCTAACTTTCTGCAGTTTCGCTTCTGGATTTTTGGTGAAAGTTTGTACAATCTGTGATCAGATGCTGACAGCAGGCAGAAATCCAATCACAGTCAAAGGTTTCAAATGCCATACTCACAACTCAAGTTTTAATTGGTGAACATGCAATCAGTCTAAATTCATGTAGGAAGGAAATATGTTGTGTACTTAATGTTGTGTGCCAGTAACACAAGTATCCAAATTAAGATACACCTTTAGAGATTTATTTTACCAACAGCTGGTCCAACCCAATCACTGACCCTGAAACTTAACCATCAATTCAGCTGTCATTCACTTTGGTCTTTTTCCCATACCAGAAAAAATCCCCTTCATGTTGTTAGCCATGCTAACAAAGCTCACTTGCATGGCTAGTGCTTGCTCACTAGCCTCGCAAGTGAGCAAACATGTACTAGACAGGGAATTGTATGTTTAGAGTACAGTTACCAGTTAAGATTTCAACAAGTCATCCAACTTGACTGGTCATTTGCTCTTCCTACTGGAGGAACGTGGGGGGGCTGTTTTATATAAGAGGGGAGTCAGAAATGTTTTTTTATTAGCAAGTCTACAAGCAGTAAAGTCATAACCTGTAATTATTATAATAAATATGGCAATGGTAGCCTAGTAACAATGAAAGCACATTTTATGGTACCATAAGTGGCACAACACAGACAACTGTTTGATTAGTATGAAGATGGATGGATAGTTATTTACTCTCTCTCTCATATATATATATATATATATATATATATATATATATATATATATACATATATATATATATATATATATTAGGGGTGCAACGATATTCGTATCGATATTGAACCGTTCGATACAGTGCTTTCGGTTCGGTACGCATATGTATCGAACAATACAACATTTGTAATTTATTTTATCAACTTTCCTTCTGACGATGCTGTCTGTGTTGAGCGCTCAGTGAATCTGCGTTCGACTACTCCGCCTAGGCTGCACTGTCGAGCGCAGATCCACTGAGTGCTCAACACAGACAGCATAGTCAGAAGGAAGAGCGGCAGGGCAAGCTAGCAAGACAGAAGTTAAGCTCTCCAGATCTGGCGTTTGGAATTATTTTGGTTTTCATGTGACGTATGACCCTGAAGGTAAGCGAGTCATGGACTAAAGTAAAACAGTATGTTGGATGTGCCACGCAATGCTCAATTACATGGGTGGGAGCTAGTGTGTTAGCGCAGTTAGCTCGTTAACATGTTGGCCGTCTAGCCCCATGCACGGGGCGATCGGCGGTAGCTCGTTAACGGAGATTTGCCGTGTTGTGGCGTTAAGGTCATTTCAACGAGATTAACCTGAAATCACTAGTGGGAACACAACGAATATGACTGCACATTTACGCCGACATCATCCTAGTGCAAAGACAAAAACAACAAGCATGCTACTAACTTTAGCCGAGTCATTTAGACAGCTGTTAGCACATGATTCTCCTTATGCTGCTGAGAATATAGCCCAGAAGAAGCGGATAGTATAGCTTTTATTTTGGAAAGAGACATTTCTCTGTGATAAACTCTCTTTTCCAAAGATGAGTGATTCCTCAATCAGATACAGGGCTTGCAATATCGCTAGCCCGACGTCCTGGGGCTAGCTATTTTTTTCAGTCGGGCTACCAAAATCTATCTCTTCCCTGCCCGTCGGGCTATTGTAGGAAGAAAAATATATGTCAATGCTTTTGCATTCTTTCAGAAATGTAGCTGGGTAATTATGTCATTGGCATCGGTGAGCCACTGTCAATATGTGACATATTGAAATCGCGTTTGAATTTGCGCTTGTTTTTTTGCTTTCACTTTGCAATCGCGCGAACTGTGTATAGAGAGCGACAGCACTGATCTGTGAGTGATGAAAATTTGTGCACCAATTCCTCTGGCATCGTCTTATTAATCGTTAGCTTACTATGCAAACATGACAAGTGAAATCTCCCGCAGCAAGCTTAAACATGTGAGAGGTTGAGGATATATATTTCATTTCTTCTGAGCCAAATAAGACAGGTCAGGGTGAAGAAGTGACAGCCAAAGAAAAGCTTACCACAAAACGGAGAAGTTATGACAAATCAGACTATAAGGCAAAAAGAAAGTGCAGCTTTATGGTTTCATGGACAAAAGAATTTCTGTGGCTGCGATATGACGAGCTAAATAACCAGGGCTGCACATAAGTGGTCCGCAGGTGCGCATTCGCTGTCAAAATAAAAAACGCGCACAAGGGTTAGGGTTAAATTTAAAAACTGTACTTTTGAGTTAAAATATATATTTATAATTTTAATAAATGACAAATTAAAAAGGCATGAACATTTTTTTGTATCGAAAAAATATCGAACCGTGACACCAAAGTATCGAACCGAACCGAACCGTGAATTTTGTGTATCGTTGCACCCCTAATATATATATATATATATATATATATATATATCCAAACTCCAATAAATAACTATCCATCCATCTTCATACTAATCAAACAGTTTAAATAGTAGTTGTGGTTTAAATTGGGGTTTGTCGCCACAAAATCAAAGTCAAATAATATCCCCTGAAGTGATATAAACAGATCTGGGTGTGTGCTTGAGAGGAAAACGGTGGTTTCAGAAGAACGTGTGGGGACACGAGACTGGCTAAAACTGGTCTTAAGTCCCTCTTCCTCTTTGCCTTGTCCTCATTCTGGTCCTGAGTTTCTTTCTGCTTCCTCTCAGTGTCTAGTAAACAGGACTTCTTGCAGTGAGTGTGACAATGAGATTACTGTTCATAAAAACAAAATTAAGCAGACTGCAGTTGTAAAAACAGGGCAAGTCTGTCCTAAATGAGACAGATCACCTGTTCACAGCACAACACTAGTAAGGCCTTTGCTATCAGTTTAATAGAGTGTGAAGATAAACAAGTGTAGAGAAAGTGATCCCACTGAAAGACAGAATTTGCTTCACTTTTCAGCTGACTGCAACAGTAAGAGATGTGTACAATGTGCACAACCTGCTGTGTTTTTAGAAAAAGGAAATACACACTGGCAGTATCGTGTTCATGGAAAGTCCAGTACACCCATCTGCCTCCAAGACAAGGAGCTCAGGCCTCACAGTGTGCCTTTCTGTTGGTACTGCAGATAGACGGTCCTCACTGGCTGACTACTCACACCATAGCAAAGAAGCATGGGGCAGTGGTCACATTCTCGCTTTCCTCAGCAACTAAAGCCTTAACAACAGTTTACTAAAGGCAGTGAGAATTTCAGTGGCACTACTAAATTGCGGATTGTTGCTTTAATGACCTCAAATTAAGGACTTAGCTTTGTGAGTAATTACGGTTTTTTTGCTTCAGCCATTGGAAAAGAATTTGGTGTTGTTAACTTTAGTGTTAGATGATATCATTCTTATGTGTAAGCTAATCAGGAAATGACTGTGCCAGCTTGTTAGCCACACAGGCGTTAGTTGGCGGCCATCTGATAGCCACCACTCAGCAGGGAAAATGTGCACCTTCAGTGGTTGTTGGAGGTTCTGGCAGTCTCTGTGAAACCAACTGATCAAATCGCAGACCAGTTAGTCAGTGACCTTGTAATTCACTGGTTGCAGCAGAAAGATGTGCTTTCTTTAACTGGTTGTGGGTGGTTGCTGGAAGTTGCTGGCTGTTGTTATCAAGAAAGTGTTTGCAAGCAGATGTAAAGTGGTACACCAAAACCCTTCTTTGAGAAACCCCCTTTGCTTTACTTGATAGCAGGCTGCCACCTTTGCAGCAGTTTATATGGAAGATGCTGAAATTTCTGTAAACACTTGCAAACTACTCACCAACTGTTAGTGAAACTAAGAGTGACGAAAATGAGAAATTGAGAGCAGTCACAGTAAAAGTTAGGGTTAGCCCTAACCCTAACCCAATTTATACTGCACTTGTTCCACTTTGACTAAAGCTTGTGGCGTAAATGACAACTCGTTGTAGAAAAGTCTGTCTTCAATGCAAACTGCAGGTGACCAAAGCTATCACAAGCAGATTCTTGGTGTAGCTGATTTCACCTGGCAATAGCAGCAACAATTTGCCAGCAACATTTTTCCCTGGTGACCAGAGGTTGTCAGGGGGTCAACCAACCTCTAGGTCTATGTGACTGACACCTTAGCTAAGTCCTAAGAAAGGAAACTTTTGCTTATTACACAGCAGTGAGCTCTGTCAGCTCATGGCAAGGAAGTTCTGTACTTGTGCTTATAAATTAAGATGAAGAATTTCCTGTGGGAACCTCTCATCTCCTCTTAGCTAACCAGGTATTTGCATGTCAAATATTAGTGTCTTAGATATACATGGTATTCCATATAATTTAGTATACTTACAGTAAGAATTTCACAGTTCAGTGTGACAGTATATCCCTCGATGCTCAGTAAAAGCAGCATTAGCAGAAAGACAAAGTGAACACATAACTACATGACATACTGAAAGTATGACAGTAATGTTTGTAACCTATGTTCAAGTGTTTATGTGCTTTATTCAGTTTCTCTGTAGACAAAGATATATGAGTGATATATGAGTGACAGCTCTTAATGCCAAGTCATTTTTGAGTTTTATTGTATGAATTGTAGAGTCCAAGGAAATCTTTGCTCTGCTGTAAGTCTCTGACCAACAACTGTCTGTTGCAAGTCTCCTATACTTTTAGCAGTGCAGTGATAAACAGCTGTTTGCTGGCAACTTGATATTGTTGCCAGCAAAAAGTGATATTGTTCTTGTGATATTTTTCTATATGACTGACTGTAAATGATGCCGTTCGAGCAACCTACAGCATAGGAGATGAGAGAGTAAAACCATTAGTGGTGTTTTAAAAACATATTGGTCTGACAGATGTTGTACAGTGTATAACCCAAATCCAACTAAAGAATCAAATTGCATTTTTTTTAAATGTTTTGAAAAAGTGTAAAGTTTTGGGTTGTCCCCCTTAAAACTCCTCCTGATCCTTAGCTTTTCACACATCTCCAGCATCCCTTCACATGCTGAGAGAGCCCAGCCTACCTTCCTCATAGCCCCAGTCCAGCTCATCTTTCCCCGGAGTATAATCCGACTCCTCATTCACATTGTCAGCCATGGTGCTTTGCAGTCTACTCCCTGTGGCTAGAAACCAGTCTGTCCTCCCACTCACGGCTCCCCGTCACTCTGGTTTTAACTGGTTTTGGACACAAACTGAAGTCTGCTGGATGGATTCCCAGCTCAACAACAACTCTCTCTTTTCTTTGATGCAGTTTCTCTTTTCTTCCTTTTTTCCGTCTGTCTCTTCTTAACCCACTTTCTTACTCTCTCTTGCTCTCGTCCTCCTAAAGAGACAAGCTGATGATGTGTGCAGACTGCTCTGCCTCTCTGAGCAGCTCTTTACTCTGTGTTGCTCCACCTCTTTTCTCTCGCTACTTTGCTCTACTCTTATCTCTCTCTCTTCCTTTCTGTGTCTCTGCAGGTGTGCTTGCTCACCCTGCCATAAAATGTCAGAACAGTGTTTCTTTTTCATCTCCCTGCCCTGTATGCTCCCTGTGTTCAGAGGTGAAAATAAACTGTAAAGCATATCGGCTTTAATTATTTTTTCTTTCTTGATTTATTTGTTATGATCGTTTACCCTTTCTGCTGTTTTCGGAACCACAGTGGTTGTGTGTATGTGTGTGTGCTGGAATGCTGGCAGGAAGGTCGAGCTGGCGTTTCTGTTGGAGGTCACAGATCCACCCTTGGGTGAAGGAAACAGCAGTGGTTGAGAAAACATGCAAAAAGTAGCATGAGGGTGAAAGTGAAAGGCCAACTCTACTTCAGACTTGATGACTTCAAGATGGACAAAGAAAATGGCTCTCAAACACCCACAGAAACCTTTGGCTACAACTTCATGGCCTATCACAAATGAGTTTGAACACTGAACAGTGCTTTATATTTCACCCTGTTATACATTCTTTAATTACCAGTTGTTGTCATTTGTAAGTTAACTATATATTTTTCAATTTTACTGTATTTTGGGAGGTGGAGTCTCAAATGGGACAAATAATTCATAGTATTGACATTTTTTCCTTTGTTCATTCCCTGCTTTCCTAATCCATATCCTCCAGGCTGCTCTCGTTAATTACCCTACATTCTTTATCAGGAAACTGTCCTTGGAAACTGTCCTCAGAGCAAGCTAAATGAAGAAGAGCTCCCTTGATATGCAGGAGCATCAGCATTTAAAGAACAGCCAACAGGAGTGTCCTCCCGATCTGAAATTCCCAAAGTTACCAAATCATGGGATTTGCTAGATTTTCCAAGAGCCAAGAGGAAGTGCAGAAGTCTAATTTGCACTCAAATTTTTAAATTACACAACATATCATTTTACTTAAGTAACAGAACAGGTTGTTACCCTCTGACTCCCAAAAACCTTATAGGAGTTCATGCTGAAATGACATATGAGCGTTCTTAAACTGTAATAGTATCACCCAGGAAGAGCAACCGAATCCCTGTTTGGAGACGGAACGTGTGGTGGTTGTGTAATCAAACACAAGACCTTAAGCTATGAGCGGAGGTTTTTCTTTAGGTAGGAACACTGTTGCATACTACTTTGAGTTTTGTTTCCTTTACCTTTTATTAATAATTAAAGCAGTCAGTGGCTGCATGCCTTCCACCGCCTTGTAAGTCGGAAGATGAAGAACCCCTCTGATATATTCTACTTCAGATGTAAAGAAATGACGACAAACTAATCGAATGTAGAAATTTCATAGATTATAATCTATGTGATTACCGAACAAGTTTTAATCTCTATTCACCTTTGTGCTGCTAAAGGTTATAACAAAACTTTGATCTTGTTGTGCTTTACAAAGTTTTACCAAAAGAATTCACAGTCACTTTCTTGTGGTGATACTCAAATACAATGAAACTGCTGAGATATTACTCAAAACCAGCAGAATTTAGCCTATAATTATTCTATTTAATACTGGCATTTCAATCAACCTGATGGACTTACCTAGTGACACCTATTCACATCTTTATTGTATGTTCTTTATCAATGCCAATGTCTTCTCCTGTCCAGAGTGATTTCCTCCTGTTGTTTTCTGCCATCAAACACATCACATTCTGTCAGATTACTTTGCTCTGTAAGAAACAATTAGTTACTACAGCTCAGTATGTCAATAATGGGTATTTAATTAGCTTTTTGGAAAAATCTTTTCATGCTTTGCATTTACCTGCTTGCTTGCTGCCACCAAGTGGTATTGTGTTATATTTACCCACACAGCAAAGAAGATAGAGAGCCTTGGATCTTTTTTCTTTTTCTTTTCTCAGTTTTGCAAGTGTCATCATAGCTGTATCAAAAAAAGCAAATCCTCTGACATATGACAATGTTTGTTTTGTTTTTTTTATTAAAATAAGCTAACATTAACACTTTGAGCCTAGCGACAGTTAAAATTCAATATAGATTCAAAAAATTAAAAATGTATTTCTTGTCGTCAGTAGCAACAATCTGTGATTGTGCCAGAACATATTTTGAATCACCATCATGGGCATTTCAGATTCAGCACAGGTGGCTGATTGTTACACTCTGGAAATTGAATGAAGGTGAGTGTCATAACCCAATAAATCATAAAAAAAAAACAACTACCTTTTGGTGAAAAACTTGGTCATGACAGTGCAGATTCCTGACATTTTGTAAGCATGTAACAGTTTGATTATTTTCTAACGCAAGAATGTGAAACTGAAATTAGAAAAACTGTATTTCCAACTGATCCACCTCATGTTGTGTAGTATTCTGGATTTTATATTTATTGAGCTACATCTTTATTTAATCAAAATGCACATTTTTTATGTAACGGAAATGTTTTATTATTTGGCCTAAAGCCAATAAGAAGGTTACTGACCATGTTTATATGAAACATGTGTATACTTACTGCATTTGGTGTATTTTAAGCATATCTAATAAATATTACAGAATGCAACACCTGCACATTGATTTTGCCACCCCATGGGATTTCCACCCTCACATCATCCCTAGGACTATTTCTCTAGATCCACCCCTGCACGTCAGGGCTTACTGGCTAGAACTGAAGGTAGATCCTATTCTATGTTTCTTTTTTACTCTGACTGGGGGCATAATAATATCATAAATGAGCACTGTGCTCTATTTATTAAAGCTTTACTTACAATCTTAAGTATAACTGAGGTTACAGATTAAAAAAGTGAAAGGCCATTTTCCTTACACTTATCTACAATTAGAGGAGTCGCCCTCTGCTGGCCCGGTGCTAAAAAGAATCCAGGTTTAAGGCACTACAAAGAGCCACTGCTCTTCTGTGCAGTGAATAATGGTCACAGAGTTTCCTTTCAGGCTTTTACATGGTTGAAAATTTGTTTTCTACAATACAATGATCCATTTAAAGTTCAAGGACTAGGACATCACTGCTTTTAAAATGTCCACCTGTAACCGGTTGGTTTAACTCTTGAATACATGGTGTAAACACAGCTGTCTGTTGAGCTTGGAACTTAGATGTGGGCTGGAATCAAAGGTAACATTGTTTTCATTGTGTGACTTTAGTTTTTTGTTTGAGTCAAATTTATTTTCTGTGTCCCACTGTGAGGACATACAAAATGTCATGAGGGCAAAAGTAACTCTGAACATAAATTGTTACATTTTGGGATTACAAGGAGATAAAGACAGGTCTATCCAGAAAATGAATGTCCTAAAACATAACAGCTGTCAGCAGAATGGTGCACAATTTTGAGAGTCTGCAATTGAAATAAGGCTGGGTCTATTTTGTGGAAAATTGTGGCTTTTTGAATTTATTGAAAGAATAGCTGCATAAGATGATGCTTTTTATTTTCCAGCGGTTGCTTTTTACAAATGTGAAAAAATCACATTTGAATTAAAAAGAGATAACACTTTATTTCAAGATAATGTTAAATCAGAAAAATCCCATTTAAACTGATGTTAAAGCATTGTAAAACTATTTAAGGAGTAATGGCAAAGTAAATGGTTTTCTTACAAATGGATGTTTTGGGTTTGTTTGGGGGGGTGTTAAACTTACTTACTGTCATATTATTTCCAAGCCTTTCAGGCTGGTTTTCTGAACATATTGATAATTCTGTCTGCACAGATTTATGTTGTTTTGCTTTCTTTAGATTTATTTTTGTACGGTCTAATATTTTGCACTGATTTACTGTAATAACCCCTCCATCCATCACCATCTAATCATGTTCCCAAGACCTGTGTTGTCGACAGAAACTTTTTCTGGTGGACCTCCCAACACAAAATGGTCTTCAGCGGTGGGTTAGATTAAGTGTCATTCAAATGAGCACTGAGTGGCCGAGCCTTAGCCCACTGGGCCAGGTCGGGCCTACCCAGAACAAGATTCATGCATCCAGCCTCCTGTGTGGGCAGAGAGAGCTATAATGGTCTGGTGCTTTGTAGATCAAGTAGCAGTCAGTGGCTTTGGCAGCCACATCCCCAGCTGCCCAAGTTGACTTCAGGAACATAGAGACGAGTTAGGAGCTTGTTCATCTAGGATGACTCAGAGTAGAACATCTGACGAGGATGGATCCTGCATGTGTAACTGGGAGAGAACATGCTGGAGAGATGACGACTCTCACTTGCCTTGGGAAAGCATTGGTGAAAAACATTTCTGCTGGATAACCTAGAGGCTATAGCCAGGTAAGAAGTGGGTCTAAGCATCTTTTCTTAGTCTGCTGCCTCATAAATGTAAAAAAAAAATGGCCCTGGTCCTGAGCAAGATTATACATGAAAGCCAGGTCAAAGAAATCTGACAGCAGTCTGGCTGGACTCGCCTAATTCCTCACAATCTTCTCAGAACAGCACTGAAGCACTATCACATCCCAAACCATATCAAGGGAATAATCAGCAGTTACCTGAGAGGGTTCAAGCGTCACTTCAAGGCCAAAGACTACCTACAGAAAGAGATGGTCACCATTCCTGTTCGCTATGAGCATTAACTTCAACGTAACGTCACTATCATTGGAGCAGTGGAAAACGTAAGACAACTGGCAATAAGGGGCTTCATACCTTACAGTCACAACATCTTCCAACATGCAGCCAAGATGATTTCTAGGTTCTAGGTTAACATCGCTGACAAGTGCAATCTGAGAAAGTGGTATGACAATTCACCAAGCGACAGAAACAACATCCACAACACAAGAAGCAGCACAAGCAGAGGGACCATTGAAGGACACTGATAAATCTGACTACCGGGGAGGCTTAAGGCATGACTGTACCAACACAGCCTGCTCCCGAGGTAGATGTGACTCATCATAATATATGAAGTCTCACAGTGGACAGAGAAGAACTGAGATAAGAAACCTGGAGGAGGAACAGAGGAAGTTAGAAATGGTGGAGGTTGGATTCAAGCCGTGA